TATCGGGTGGTAGCGCAATATACAGAAGAAAAACTTGAACAAGAAAGAAGGAGTGGAGAGATTTTGAGTGATTTGTTGGCGGGTTGAGTTGTTTGTTGGTTGACAATTATTGCCGTTCATCTACGAAAATATTTATTGTGGTTTGCGCATGTGTATTGGAAGTAAGAGGACATATAGGACAGATATTTATAGACGACCTTCAAACCTTCAATAAACAAACGTACCTAAACTTCCTTCTTAAAAGGCTGATAACGCACCTGTGATTCTTCTGTTGTCGCAGGTGACCGACACAGATCACAAACCATCAGGTGGCCTGTCAGCTCATTTGCCTCCTATTCCATAAAAAGAAAAAAAGAAGAGTCTTTTTTAGCACATAAAGGTGGATGAATAATAGTATCATTTTAACACCACCGATAAAAGAACAAAACAACGACGAAATCAAGACGCATAATTTCTAACTACTGTTTACAAATTGCCGAGACATGATTTAAGAAATTAATGCTCAAACGTCCCCGTTTGAGAAGAGGCCTTTGCTTAGTGGTGGGCACCAATGGTGATGAGTAGGGAGTACGTAAAACAATATAAGCTAAATTCACGCGGGCAAAGTCCGAAGTAAACCCTGTACCTCTTTATGACACTATGTAAGGTGATTAAGGAAATGAGAAACGTAAAAACTGTGAGTTATGAGTTCCATTTGTTAATAACTTAATCCCATATTATTCGGTTATAAAAATGTGAAAGCCTTCGATTTATTTCCGGAAGTTTATTACTTAATCATTCCTTAAAGTTCGAATTAATTTTAATGATTAAGTATTTTTGCAACAAAAGTAGGATAGATCTATAGTATAGGATCTACCTATATCAAATTGTTGCTTCACTTTTTAACCTACTTCCAAAAAGAAGAGAGGATGTCAATACAACCTCAAATAATATTTTTTTAGTTATTTTGACGATATGTCCGTTATTTATAAACCGATTCTAAACTTTTTTTTGGAAAGTAGATTGTCAAATAATAAATAAGTAAGTAATAAAAAATCAGGATCTGATGATTGTAAAGTTGTTTTAAGGCAAGTAGTGCTTTTATATGTTGTAGGCATTTCACAACACTACATATAACTTGACGAAAGTCGTACTAGACCTGACGTTGGAGCTAGAAGACAGTTGAGGGATCACCTATCTATATCTATTTGGAGTAGTTGCCTTGTGTTAGGATTTGATTAATTTGTATTGGTGAGTACTTTGCTCCAAGATTGGTCGTGACTTTCATTAAGGGTCTCATTGTGAGAACGAAGGACAGCTCAGGGAAATCCTCAACGATTTACAATATCTGAAGTTTAACTCTACCATTACTGTGATTTTCGATCTCAAGTAGCCGTCGTCATCTCATTCGAGAAGCATCCTTGCTTGCTCTACCTATCACTCAAAATGGTAAAATAAAATAATTTTAGACAAAAAAAAACATGACATCAAGAAGTAAACTAAAAAGCAAAAAAATAAGTTTGCTTTGTACAAATTAATATGTATTTTCATTTAGTTAAATAGAAAATTATATACTATCATGTATAACTGAGAATCTTATATTATGTTTGAAATCATCTGTGTTTAATTATTATTACTTATAAGTTATAACTTGTTTTAATGTCACAGTATTGCCATCTATCATCAGTTGACTAAAATGTTACGTAGCGATCAATTCTATGTAACAAGCTGTTTCTTAATGTTTGAATCGTTTTTGTTCTTAGTGTGCCGAGCGTAAAGTAGATGGCGTTAGTGAGCCTTGTAGGTTGAACCATGCATCATCTTAGGTTTTTATCAATCCTATTAAAGATTTTCTTGATACATGCTTAAATTTTTGTTATGGTTATGAGTTGAAATAATTTATATTTACCGAAGAACTACCAGCCCCAATATATTTTAAAATATTGTTTAAATTGATAAAATATTTTTTGCTGGATATGTTGCAAAGATGGCTGTCGATTTTTGGAACAGGAAAATGTTTTGTTTTTCTACAATTGTTGGATATAGTACTTACCGAACGTGGGTTTGGAGACAATGTATGGAAAAAGCTCGATTCCAAGTAAATTTTACTAAAATGGAGAAAAGTAGGCTAATATACATTTTCATGTCATACCTGCCAGTCAGGGAAAAATGAACGTAGTCAATAAAGGATTTTTTTACAGGAAAGCTAGTCAAAAACAATTCTCTTATTACCTATAAAAATGCAAGTAATGGACCACTTGTTTATATAAATTAATAGATTTATAAATACTACTCTGTCAAGAAAGAACCGGGAAAAAGTCAATAATACACAAAATGTTTGTTATTCATCTAAATTTATTTTATCACCTTCAAAGTATGCTCCTTCAGAAACGATACACTTACGCCAACGAATAATCCAATCATCGAAACTTTTTTTAAACGCTGTTTCCGGAATTGAGTTCAGTGCTCGGCGCGAATTCTCCTTTATGTCTTCTAACGATTGAAAACGGGTGCCACGAAGGGGTTATTTGAGTGTGGGAAAAAGAAAGAAGTCGGCTGGAGCCATATCTGGTGAATATGGTGGCTGCTCGATGGGGTTTTGTTGAGTGTTTGGCAAAAAATCGTTTACAATGATGGCCTTGTGCGAAGGCGCATTATCGTGATGCAAAATCCAAGAATTTTCTTTCCACATTTCTGGCCTTTTTCGTCGAATTTGTTCTCTTAAACGCCGCATAACGCTCAAATAATATTCTTTATATACCGTTTGACCTTCGGGCAAGAATTCTGAGTGCACAACACCGCGATAGTCAAAGAAAACAGTCAACATGACTTTGACTTTTGATCGACTTTGACGTGGTTTTTTTCGGTTTTGGTTCAGTTGGAAGGCGCCATTCTGAAGCTTGTTGACTAGTTTGCATGTCAAACTCGTAAACCCACGTCTCGTCACCAGTAACAATGCGTTTCATGAATGTTGGGTCGGTATTGACTCGTTCTAGCATGTCCTCAGCGACTTTTATGCGATTTAGTTTTTGAAGATAATTCATGTCTTTTGGGACTAGCCGACCGGCAACACGTTTCATACCCAAATTATTTGTTAAAATGGTACGGATCGACTCGTGAGATACAGAAAATTCGGCGGTCATCTCTCTCAAACTTGAATGAGGATTTTCAGTCACTATTTCCTTCACTTTTGCGATGTTAACTTCAGTTGCAGACGTTGATGGCCTACCAGAACGAGGCAAATCTTCCATCACATCTCGACCGCTTTTGAACGCTTTGTACCACTCATAAGCACGTGTTTTTGATAAAGTCGATTCACCGTAAGCCTTCTGTAACATTTTGAGTGCCTCCGAACACGAAATTTCATTGGCGATGCAAAATTTAAGACAAACTCTTTGTTCGATGTTTTTGTCCATTATGAAATTCGCAATACACACTAGATATTATAAAACTAAAAACAGCACTGTTTTTAATATAAATACTGCAACTCAAATTCCGCGCCAAAATGGAAAACAGTTAAGCCAATCTAACAACAACAAAAAAAAATTAAAATTCGAATTTGGAACCATAAAAAAAAAAAATCATTCCCGATGCTTTGTTGACTGAATGTAATTAGGTATTACATTTCAGAATGCTGCGATTTTCATGAAAGTGCATACCTACTTCTGTAACTTACAAGTTTTGCTATTTTTTATTAGCTTCATATTAACGTTTGTACTCAATTAGAGTTAAGAAAAACTACACATTTCGTTGTAATTGATACGTAAATATACTTATTTAAATAGTGCTTGGTCCCACAAGGTTTTATTCAGGAGCGATAACAAGAATAAAAATATAAACTGTAGATATTTTATATTTTGACACTAAGGAAAGTGTCAAAATAATATCAAGGCTCATAAGTAAGTAATTAGTAACCAACGTGGAAATTTGTTAAGATGACGGATTATGTTTTTTAAAACGAATTAATAAATTATCTTTATAGATAATTAAATTACAATTCCGGCTTCATCTACTTTTTCACATATAAATTGACGTGTAAAAGTGTCGTGTTACGGCCTATTTGCAAAAATAAATTCATTGTTTCATTGTTTCAATGGTGGGAGAGCCATGTTTCGGCACGACTGGAGTTATCCCACGGTCTCACTGAAAACCGGCATAAAGCTACATTTAATTTACGTTGTGTTTGCCAGTGTGTGTGTGAAGTTATTGGAGGACCAACCCTTTCCATCCTCAATCCTCAAGTCTCCTATCCTTACATCAGTTATTACCCTGACCAAGGTCGGCGACGTACTTGTAGTAATTCTTTTGGTATTGCAAGTGTCCATGGGCGGCACTGATTGCTTACCACCAGGAGATCGCATCTTCATTTTCTAACTTATGGTTTAAAAATTAGATTGAAAGCATTATTTGTGTTCTTGTCTGCCTTCTCTTAGATCATTGGCCATAATTAAGAGTAGCAAGGTCTTTGTAACCACATACAAAATTTTAACACATGTTATTAAGCTAGATATTATACATTTGTTGAAACATTTAGTTGTTTTCTTTACTACTTAGTTACGCAACGAGTAAAAAAGTATGTAGAAGTCTACAATAATTTTGATTTTATATAGGTGAAAAAATCTGCCTGGTAAGTATATGAATAAGCGAAATCACCCTTTGTCTTAGTAATACCATATGAATATATAACCAGATAATTTTGTTTAAAAATAGATCTGATTGATTACGTTACTGGTTTAAAAACAAAAATTAATCAAAGACTCGATCAACAGTTGTACATCTGTTGATGAATCACACAACAAAGTTATGTAGATTTTATAGACTGTTATTATTTTTGATAGCTTTTGATAGAAATATTAACATACACAGAAATACACCCAGTCCTACCTGCCATGGGAATACAATCTGTTTTTGAGTTATTTATTACTAGATAAATTCATCTTTTCTTTAATTGGAAAAATACAAATGGTAATTCATTTTTTTGCGAACACATTATTAATGAAACACATTGTGAATTTATATTTTCCAATATATTTTATTATTGTTGGGTTTCTTTTTTTAACATTTAAAAATATTAATATACAATTTGCTATGCGTCTACATATGTTTTTTTATGAACTTAACAAGCTACTAATAGTGGTTTTTGGTGATCACTACTATATGGCAGTTACATGGCAGTGTGCTACATTAAACAAAATTAAAACTACAGTTAATAGTAATACTTTCAGCGACTTAAAATTAAAATAACCTAAAATTAAATGTTAATTATAGTAAAGCTATGAAAATAAGCCTATGAGGCACTTCGATACTTAAACAGATTTTAAAGATCAGGTCTCATGTAGCTTAAGCGACTTGAGACACATTAGCGTCGTTTTGAGTCAACCGGGTAATATAGCCATTTAAATTCATAGCCTTTAAGACCGTACTTCTCGTCCTTTTCAGTTTCAGGTTTAGGTACTTCCTCAGACAATAAGTCGAGTACCTCCTGTGAAACTGTAGGATGGAAGCCCGTATCATCAGCTACATAGTCGATCCTTGTTCGGACACCGTTTCTTCCAGTTACATAATAGTAACCCTTTTTAACTCCATTAGTGTAGCCTTCTTCAAAGTGAGCATGGAAACCAACTGTGTAATTGAATGTGTACAAGAGCTGCGTCATATCACCTTGAGTAAGACCTGGTGGTAATCCTTTTTGCTCACCAGGGCCGAGCGCATGAATATCTGTATTCTTATCTACTATTTGCATTTGGGCTGAAAACAGTGTCGGTTTAGCAGAACCATTAGATCCTGAACTAACCTGTTGTTCTGGATTGTATTGCTTTGAGGTTCTACCAGCAGAAGATGCCCCTGCAGTTCCTCCTTGTGCATAAGAACTTTGTCCAGCAGATGGGTAATTTGAACCAGTAGCTCCAAGTTGAGGGCCTACTGAACCCGTGTTTTGTTGAGGACTTGCAAAACCTACGTTTTGCTGAGGATTTGAAAAACCTTCACTTTGCTGAGGACTTCCAAAACCTATATTTTGTTGGGGGCTTGCAGGAGCTCCATTATTACCACTGAACAAAGAATTCTGTTCTCCTGAATATGTTTGTCCTGTAGTTCCTCCATAAGTCTGAGCTGCTGGTGGAGAACCTCCTACTTGTTTATTGCCGGAATTGGCACCTCCTGATCCTCCTTGACTTGATCCTTGATAGTTTTGTCCTCCACTGACAGGTTGTGCAGCAAACGTTGGCCCAGCGTCTGGTGCGACGAGTCCCTGTTGGGGATGTTCTGGTTGACCTGAGGGGTAGTTTTGTTTACCACCCTGAGAACCATATGGTGGGCTACTTTGTACATTGGATTGACCAAGTGATGATGAAAGGAAAGGCTGCTGATTTTGAGGACCAGATCCTATTGCACCGAAATGGCTAGGAGAATTAATGTTGTTATTATTCGAAACTTGGTTGTACGCCGGTGGTGGTGCGGGTGTAGTGGTCGTAGGCAAACTGCATGACGAACATGATCTACCGGGTGGCTCTATTGATATTGGCTTAAATGCTTTTGCAGGCTGTGGTGTCTGAACTACAGGAGATACTGCAGATGTTTGGACTGAAGCAGGTGGTAATGGTAGAGCATGGCCTTGTCTTGCTGAGGTAGGTGACGCAGGACCCGAGGCGGGAGCTGGAAAAGGCATAGATTATTTGTTATTTTATCTGTGCTCATAAATCTGTTTTGGCAGAAGAGATTAGGCTTTTTGTAGCGTGCGCTTTACTAACATTTTATCCTCAAACAAAATCACGTATTTGGGCACATAAACTTTAGACTGACCTCTTTGTTTTTAAATCTTTACCAAACTGTGCGTTTTATGATGCCTTATACGTAAAAGCTGCAGTATCGTTTTAACGCCAATTCTTTGTGGTCTGTGGATCTTAACATAGATTCACTTGTTTCATAGTTTATGGTTTATTAACTTACATGACTTCAAGTGAATGTTCTTCATTGACAATATTTTGAAGCGGCCCTCTTTGTCCGTGGCATAGACCGTGACGTGGTAGACGTCGTCGGCAGTGACGAAACCAAACTCGCCCATTATAATCCCATCTTTGTCTGAAATCAAAAGAGGTACACAGTTACTTTATGCTGAGACGTAGATGTAGGCAATGTGTTAATAATAATTACAATTATCAAACAATAGTCCTGCATCAACCGGGGATTGTCCTTGCGTGCACTTTTATAGTGCATACAGGGATAATTGCCGGCTGATGTCCCATCACATTTAGATTAAAATTGTTCAACAGGCATCTGCGAGTTGGCTTCGGCTCCTCGTACCTATGCCTTCCAAAGGTCCGGGACCCTGTGGTCCCGTGAAAGGAAAGAGAGTTTAAATAACTTCAAATAAGGCCTCAACTTTAATCTTTCAAGTTTTCGTATGTTCTGACTTTATGATTTTAATTTAACCATTATTAAAATGCTGTTTACTAGCATTTTATTTATAACAGGTATTCGCAATAAGGTGATTAATAAAATCTAGTATTTATTAAAAAACGTGTGGATTTTGTGACCTTGTAAAACGGTCTGGAGAAGCTGTGCGATACCTGATTTTTCAAGCGTGTTGATATCGCATTAATGTAGTAGGAAATGAATATTTAAACCATTTGTTATATATCTTCAAGATTATTATATTAGCAGAAGATGAATATCGAATTTTGTTGGATCAAAAAAAGTCGAGACTTTTATTATAAAATATCGCGATGCGCACGTGACTTATTCAGAGAATGTGAAATTATCGTAATATCCTTTGTAAAGTCGACGAGCATAAATACCTAAATAATATTAGTATTTAATTAGGTACTTATGAGCTCCTAATTAAGAATATAAAATTAATATTTATTTATTTTAAATGCAATTCGCGACCACTTTCCGTAATTAATTCAGTCTTAATTGCATGTTTTTCATTAATATCGGTCTAAATTTAATGTAACGTGCATGAAAAATGTTAAAATTATACAAACCACTTTTGTAAAAATTAGTTTATAAGAACATTGGCTACTACAAAATTTGTATTAATAATTGGGATTGTATTCGAGTTACTGTAAATTAAGTAATTAATTAATTCAAAAAGACTTATTTGGGATTAAATAATAATTTCTACCGCATAATCTTAGTTTAATCATTACAAGTAGTTCTTCGAGGAGAAGAAAACACACTAAGATCCACCCATTTTTATTTGGAGGGAGAATCATCAAATTAATTATCTGGCCCAGGGTATGGCCGCCATACCCTGGGCCAGATAAATCATTTGTGCTAGGAAATGTCCGACTTTTACCGTTGCTTCTCCTGCTTTAGGCCGAGGCCGTGGTACTTTATTGCGCTTAACGCGGCCCCGGCATGAAGTTCCAACCCCAAGTATTGTTCATGATACAAAAACCAAACCACCATGGCACTTCAACTAAACATCCAATTGTGTCCTAAATGTGAGCTATTTTAAGTGTGCATATGTATCTACTTAAAGCCTTAACTACATGTTTAAGTTGATTTTTAATCGTAGCCCGTATTATAATTTTCTTACAGTAACTTAAAGGTAAATAATATTCACCTTTAGACTCATGTCTGTGTTGCTGTCCATCGATCTTGAAGCCGAATTCGTACGGTCTGTTCTCGTCAGTGTACTTGTCAGCACCTTGCGCTTGAAGCACGAAGCATAGTATTATGCTCGCTGTGAGCCGCAGTCTTCGTGTTTGATGCATCTGAAGAATAAAATATTTTTTTATTGGTTTTAAACTTAACATACAGACAAGTTCCACCAATACTTTTTCTGAGCTCTCTAGGTATGGATAGTAAGCCTTCGTGAAAAACGGTGTAAGTATAACTTTTTGCAAAGTTAAAGCAATAACTTTTTAATTAAGTAGGTAATATAGGTATAGATCTGCTATAAAAATATGATAAAACTGATATCGCCGCTCGAATGAAAATATTTTCTTTAAGCTTAATGAAATATTAATTAAAACATAATATGAAACATCTGTTAAAATAAATTGTTGAATGTAAATGAATAACAAAGTATCCGTGGTTAAAGAAATATTTAAGAAAAACAGAAAATGATTTAAATAATCCCTACGGTCAACAACCGCGCTATCACTCCTATAACGTGTTTAAAAGCAATAACATTTTATAGTTAAAATATAAATACCTACAGACGTTTTTATTCACCTTGACAAACTGCAGTATTAAAGTTAAAATTAACGAATTAGGCAAATACATAATTACGTCAACGAGTACAGTAAAATTTTTCACATTCCAAATACAACAGAAGCTCCTTGGCATTTAATATCAATACACTTATGTTTAATAAGTGTTAAGTATTAGTTCTTATACATTATGTCATTTGTAAAAACGGAACTTGATGTCAAGGAGATACAAAATATATTTATACTAACTTATTCTTGCAAAGTTTCGCGTAAATCATGTCGGTAGTAAAAACTACTAAATGGGTGACGCAATTTCAAACTTGTCATACAAAATAGCACTATAGTAAATTATAAAATATTGCTTCTTAAGCCCACACCTGTTGTTTTACACGTTACACGAGTATCAACTTTTATTGGATTTTGAACCTTATATTTCATTTTTTTCGAATTACATTTATTCATTTTGATTTGTGGACAACATGGAACATAAGGCCCGCCCTAAGAGTTAATTTATGAATGTGTACAATAATTAATTTAAATAGAGACTTTTCTAATTAATTAGGTGCTTATAAATATTAAACAGTAGTTTAATAACACAATTGTGGAAAGATAGGATTTAGAAAAGCTTTCTACTTTTATTACGTTAACTTTGATTATAAACTAGAAAAATAATTTTATTATTTTGAAATTACGAACATTAAAAGTAATTTGCTTTAAATATAAATCTGGATAAAAATTCACCAGTATGTTATTCCAGACTAATACCAGAGAGATATAATCTTAGATATAGTTTCATCTAAACTTTCGTACTTATACTTTAACGTTTTGGAACTTTTACGTTTCTCTGTTTACTTTTTAACATATGTACATATTTTCTGTGAAGTTCATACGAATTATATAAATGAATACCAATATTATAAACAGGTAAAATTTGTAATTTGTATGTTAGTATGTAGGGGATAATTCTTCACTGATAAATAGCTACAATGTTCCTGTGTAAAAATTATGCTACGATCAAATGGAGCCGAGCAGTTGGTGAAATCGCGCGATAGTAGCTAGTCTTTGATAATACGATTAAATCATTAGCCAAATTTGACAAATTGAACTAATTTGAAATCTGGGATGCATTAGAGAATCTGTATAGTTCACATATTAAATTCAGTAATTAATTTTACTTAGTATTTTAATAATAGCTAAACAAGACGACGACGACCTTAACATTTAAAACTAATTCATAAGTATCCTGTGATTTTATTAAGAATATTGTTTTTAGATTTTCAACTTCAAAAATTGCTTGGATGTCTGCAATTAATTGAGCAAATACTGATTTCAAGTCAGGCGGAACTACTATATTGACATATGATAATTTTTTATCATAAGGATATACAAAATTATGTTTGTTCAGCGAAATAACACGTTTGGCAAACTTTTTCGATAGGCCAAGTAGGTGATATACCAGTATGTGAGAGGTAGTGGAAAATTTTTGTAAACTTCACAATAAATGTTGACCATTTTTTTTTTCATACACCTTAGTGTCATATTTTTGACAGATTTAAATACTAGAGTTTTTTAAACGACAAAGAATTCATTGAGCTTAGCCTAAGCCTTTAAACATATTTTTTATAGAATATATCAAATACAACAGGGGGAACAATACTACCATTGGTTTCTAGAATCCAAAAAATTTTTGGCGTACAAACAACTAAGATAATATTTTTTCTAAATACCAATAAAGATTAACTACTATAATGAATATATTATCAAAATTTTTTAGATCTAATATAAATTATACCGCGGACAAGTTAAAAAAGCAATTAATAAAATAATGAAAGAGTTTAAAGCGAAACTAATTATTAATAAAGCCGCAGGGCAATAAATATATTCTAGTTAAGTTAATTTGACTCAAAATATAAGATCAAGTTACACCTTGGTATTTTTTAATTAATCTGCGGTAAATTTGTGTGAACTTAGATAAATATCTATGTGAACTTAGTTTATATAAATGTTTACTAAAAGAAACTTGTCGTTAGGTCATCAATATGAATGAATAATTAACTCATGACAGATGTCGTATATTATAATTAGACGTCAATTAGTCAAGACGTAAGGAAGTCATGTTATATGCATATGACGTGACGTGACGTCTAATTTTATAACATGACTTGTTAGAGTCACCAGTGAAAGTGATTGTCATTTTCAATGGAGAGTGATGTAAGTATGTTTGCTTTTCAGGCCTTAATTCAGTATCCAGGTGCGAGGTTACAGGGGGTGATATTATACCGCGTGTGTGTAATAGTGTAATAATGTAAGCCTCTAGAGCAAGAGAAGGCACTGGGGGGGTTTACTAGTGAGTAAGATTTTGACACTTCTTTCCACTTCACACAGGGTGGGGGAAGATATGTGAGTTTATCCCTCCTCTAATAAAATCGGGGATTGTGGGTGTGAGCGATATAACGTACCGTGGTCCCAGTTCAGAGTAACAGAAGGAATATGGTATTTTTTAGTTACTAAGAGTTTGACACTCTCGTCCGCTCTAGGATAGGAGAAGTCGTTTGATGATTATATCATAATCTACAATTGGAAAAAGGTATAATTTGAAAGTTTATCTTAATTTCTGAATGGATACCGAAAGCTTCGTCAATCGTTTTGTCCAGTCATTTTGTTTTATTAAATATTTAAAACCATTTTGATTTTTATTGTCAAGCCATTATTCTAAGTTTTATTATGATTATGTGTCTAATTATAAAAACAATAGATTGAATAAATAACATATTAATTTTTATTAACATATGAATTGTACTCGTGGACTTCTGATTTAGCGGTGCCTCGTAAAAATCAGAATGTTTTTAATTATAATTACCATCGAAATCAGTTTATGATATTTTTAAATGTCCCAACAATAAAACTATAGTAGTAGTATAGTAATCTCAAGATTATGAATACAAAAGATATTCAAATCCGTGTCAAAGTTTATTATCTAGTATCAGTAGTAGGCGTTTATTTCTTTGGTACTTCATAAAAAATGTATATTTTTACAAATCTCATATGGATTTTTGTTGATTATAGTAAAAAGGTGGTATTGTATTATATGTATATTGGTTGTCTCTGTCACACGGATCCTTTTTCATAAAAAAATCGAAACAAGTTGAACAAGTTCTTTTGATTTAGCGATATTTAAGTAATATCGCTAGCGGCTCCTACAGATCGTAGCGTGATGTTTTATAGCCTATAGCACTCAGGAGCATTGTAGCTATCTATCAGTGAAAGAATTTTGGAAATCTGACCAGCGGTTCCATACATTACCCCCTACATACAAACGTATATACAAACATACAAACTTACAAACATACAAACTTACAAATTGTACCTCTTTATAATATTAGTATAGAAAAATGTATAGCTGTATAATTTTGATACCGTTTTGTGATATGTATGCAAACACCAATTTTATAGCTACATTAATGACTTGATTTAAAATATAGATCGTTTTGTAAGCTTCTGTTACAGATTAGGTACGAAGATTTATGTTCACACCGACAAATGATACGCTTTTATAGTTGTTAATTTAGTGTTCCTATGAATGTATTTTAATTTAAATGAATGATTTTATTAAGACGTTGATAATGATAATCATCTCATTTACAAACTAAAAGATTTACGAGAATGTATTTTGATATTTAATTTTAATTTGTTAAAGCTTGTTGCACTATAAATCATGTTTTAAATTGATATTATGACGAGGGAGACGCGTGTATGTGTTTAGTACAGCTTAAATTATTAACATAATTTGCAATGATATGCCAATAATCCATTAAAGATCGAATGCGAATAAGTGCATTTTCCTTAAATGTGTATGAATTCATTAAAAATTGTTGATGGTTGCAAACTATATCTACGTACAAAAATTGTATGTGTTAAGAACCTTTACAATTTTGGCTCTTCTAAATCAGTGTGGTCTACTAGGAAAGGACGGTTTCTGCAGAAACCGTCCTGGAACCTTTCTTTAGGATATAGCCTCAACGAATTTAAGTGCGACTAAGCTCCATCCATATTTCCGTTAAATATATGTATAAAAATATTATGAAAAATATTATCTTATATAACACGGGGGTAACGTGACCGTGGATAATATACCTAAGTAACCTCAATGGGTTCTTACTATATTTTGCTATAAATCTACTATCAGAACGCTACTGCTTCATACGTGTGTCCAACTCTGAAGAATTCAGTAACTAATGTATTACAACAGCAATGCTTTCTTAGTATTGCTGTTTCTACTAATTCTATTATTTATTTCTAATGACCTTTTACCTGACGATAACAAATACAAAAAGAATGAATTAGCGTAATCGATTCAGCTATTTTCTAGATTTGCACTTGGTAACAGATTTGTCGATTAGTTTTTTTTTAATTTGGTTCTTATTAAATAAATGAGTACTATAAAAATAAATAAAGTTCAGTTGTATATTCCTTAGCAGTTTGCTTTTACACTGTTACTTGCTTAAAGTCGGTGTGAGCAAGGCGCGATCTTCCAAAGTTACAGTTATTAGTTTAGTGTAAAAACATTTTATGTTTGTGGAAATATACATCGAAGTTATAGAAGGCAACCGTTAAATCGTTTACAGTTTTTTCCATTTATTACATCTGTTAACTTAAAAGTATTTTTATTATTTGATTTTGCGAACCATTAACACCCGCTGGGCTGGTTTTTATATCAAAATGTTTTTTATTTATTTCGCCAAAGACATGAATATAAGTAGGAGTAATTTATGTCCTCAAACACGTGAAAGTGTGAGGATTTATGTAAGATAAGAATTATCATTGTTATATTTTTATTGAGTGTTTGGCGGAAAATTTAAATTCATGTTAATGAGGAGTATATATTAAACTTAATTTATTTTTTCTTATAGGTAAAGTGACTAAACGTTTTATTTTTGTGTTATGATTTTTATTACCTTTTTATTTATATTAATATTTCTTATACTTATAGTATTAATTACTTTACAATGATTAAGGCTTTGTTTAGGTATAATTCTGAGAAGCTATAATATGTTATGACAAAGGTTTATCAATTTTCTCATAAATATTTTTTCGTGTTTAGTTAAGTATGTACATATAATAAAAATGAAAACATATCATATATAAACTTCAAAAATATAACATATTAAAAAATACCTATAACAAGAGTAGTTCTAATTTCATATTATAACTACTCTAGTAATATATGTTATATTTTCACTATTTAGAAATTTATGAATAATAATCACACTGTGTACACTTTTTATTGGCAGACTTAGTCTATTGGAACTATTGATAACTTTTCTGTGTCATGTACCATGAATATACACATAGGTATCTTTGTTTAATCAAAGTAACTGCCAATTTTTATAGATGAAAAGCGAAGCAAATGTTTTGACCGATTAATCTAATAACAAAAAAACTTGGTCTCATTGAAAAAAATCAATGTATAGAAACGTAACTCGGTAACAACTTAGGTAACTTTTATTTTAGCAAATATAGAATAAGTTGACCATGAAATAATCGCTTTAAAGTTCGCGAGGTCATCGGGTCAATGTGAAATATGGCGACGTCTATTATTCATTCAGAAACCAAAACGTGATAGTCTAGTGTGGTGTGTAAATGTTTTTATATTAATAAACTTTGCTGTGTCAAATTTGAAACTTTACAGAAATATTGGAACATTGAATTTGTTTTTGTAATTAGGCCAAATTTGGCGCAACTACAAGAAAAACAAATCGAGACGAAGGCGGCATTTCTTAGTTCATAACTCTGAGAAGAAATGTCGAAAAAGAGATCAGTTTCTTTTAAAGTCCAGGCAAATGTAAAACTTATGTTGTATGTGGAAAAACCTTGCAAGTTCATTCAAGTTCAAGCAATCTTCAGGTCTTTGCAATGAATATCACTCAGTATGTTCTTTATTTAAAACAATTTTAAAGGAATATAGACAGTCTGCTCATATAAAAAAAAGTACTTGTTCCTAAAATAATAAAAAGCATAAATGTATTGAATTAAGCTTTAAGGCTATATTTCGATATCAATGTCTTCTATTATAGTTTAAAGATGAATCGCTTAATGTGTTGCTAATCGATTTGGCTTATTTATTTTTGTTACGTTTATTATTGTTCGAAAATGGTCTTCATTAAAGAAACATTTTGAAAAGCGCAAAGAAAATTGGAAAAATGCAATGACACTGAAGTAGTTGGTGCAGTAGGGGCCTATTATGTTTTTCTGGCTGTAGATTTCATTCAAGTTCTTGTTAATTAAATAAGGTTAAATAATTTAAAGAGCTTCGTTTTCGCTTAAGCTTTCTTGAATGACTTGATTCCTGATTCTTAACTCCGAGATGAATTGAAATTTGTGTTCAAATAACTGATGAGTTTGTTTAATTTGCACCAAACTTGATGACTGTTACAAAGTGTATTTAGTTTTACGGAGAATATATAAAGCTAACTTCATTTAAAAAAGTTTATATTTGTTATTATACATTTAAAATGTTTGTTTTATTTAGCTAGCAAAACACACACAAAGAGGACATGGTCGTCGATCTGTCGTAGTAAGTTAACTCTCGCATAATTAATATAAATAAATTTAAAACTTAACTATTTATTAGACATAATCTTAATTACACATAAACTGCACTTTACCAGTGCAGTTTATGTGTAAATAAGTGGTCGTTGCACTTGTAATGCACCTAATTATTTATGTATTATTTTAATGTAATCGCGTTATTTATGACTCGGAAGCTATAATATTCTTTCTGTATTTTAAAAGTTTTATAAATGATAGTAGCCAATACTGTTAGAAGCGTTTTAATAATAAAATACATATTTGTTTATACATTTAATAATAAATTGTGCAATAATTAACATTGGTCTATGAACTATATAGTTTAATCTTAAATCGTATTAAACCTCCTTTTACAAATAAAATTACTAAGTCTACGTTTTATTTGAAAAATAATACTATTCTTATTAACATTATTAAAAATCCACAGCCAAAAACCATTTCCAAATCACACACAAAATCTTTCATGATTCTTTCCTTTTCTATTACAATACATGTAGGTAAGTATATAAAATTACGATTGTTATTATTAAATAGTAAACGTAATTGTGCTTATTATGTCGCATTAATTGTCACATTATCGACTTACCTTATTTGGTCGTAATCTGTATATAAACCCGGGCCGTCTAGCGGCCTGTTGCGCAAGAGTTCGCACGAGACTGCGCCAATTCTTCGATCTACGTAATTTATTAATACTTCTAGTTGGTACAGATGGGCACTGCGACTGTCGAACCGTCACTATTCTACCTACGGGCATATTTTATTGCATCTTTCTGTTTCCGGACTCCACAATCGTGTTGTCGATGTCACGATTTGTCTTTAATTAGATGTAATTATGATCTATGATGTCAAATGATCATGTTTGTTCTAAAATGGGAGCTGTTGTTGCTAAGATATTCTCACACAGTATGAATTGTGCAAAACTTTCGATCATAATCGTTCATCAATTATGGAAAAGATATCGTGGTAAATACCTTAGTCCTTTGTGTAGCCAATCATCTACTCTTGGCAGATTGTCAGCCATCGCCCCAAAAGATGTTGTCATCTCAGTGAAAGAGAAGGTGTTGTCTCTGAGAACTTTCATTGTGTAATTTCTTTTTATAGACAAAATTGTGAATGATTTATTTTTTATTCATATAAACATATTAATTAAATTTTTAAACATTTCTTAGAAATAAAAAATGAAAAGCATTTAAAAATATAAAAAAAAATATTATTCATTAATGATATATTATTATTATCATTGAATTATTTGTAGACATTTATCATTTGTCATAAATGTATTCCATGAAATCCGAAATCGAAACCAACATTGATATTGAGCCTCTAAGAGGAGAGATTTATTTAGGCACATTAGATACATCTATTCACGAACCCGTACTTACGAATTCGCCATACGTTATTCTAATCGCTTTTTTTAAACATGTTTGTTTTGTCTCGTACAAATCTGTGTATTGACTGTATATCTGCAATTAGCTATCAGAATTTGTACTGTATATTAGTGTATTTACTTACATTTACGCAAGTGTATTCATAGTTCAATTAACTAAGATTATAAGGACAAGTTTGATTGATTTCAGTTCGTTGGTCTGCCACTCAATATATTTATTTTATTACTTACCATCAGAGTGTTGTAAAGTACACGTAATGTTTGAACAACTAATAGTTCGGCACTACAATGGTTATTATCATCTTGTCTGGGCTACTTGTTATTCGAGTTGGAAAATGCTATCTCTATTCTAGTTCTTTGCGCACAATTTTTTCCTTAAGCTTTGATTGATGTTTCATTTTTACTATTTTTTTTTTGATAAGAACGAAAGGAACTTTTATGGGAACGGCTTTTATGAACAAATAATAAAAGTTAGGTATGTTTTCGGTGAAGAAATAAAATACTTCTTTTCAATACTTTTTGGAGTTTTCCTTTTGGATTAAATGTAAATTAAATTAAATCGAGGATGATTACGTATAGTTGCATTGGGTATCCGTGGGCACGAGTTTCGACGTGGTTACACTGGGTCGTAGAGGTCAAGTGTCATCTGATCACCACAAAACCAGAAAAACTTCAAGTCGAGAATGAATTAAATCACATAATTATGAATGATTTGTTCACAGTGACTATAGATAGCATATTGAATTTAATTATTAGACATTTTATTACTTATTCTAAAAATAATACAAACAGAATTCAAAAGTTGGTACTGAGGTACGAATGAACTCTAAATAATGCCCTATTTTTGTTTTTGTTCCGAAACGAGGAAAAGTATGGCCACACTATTCATATTTAACAACTAGCATTCGAATTGAACGAACTCATCACGTGTTTTAAAAAATATTAAAATAAATTTACTTCTTTAAAACCTGCAGCATTTTGCACATGTAAACAATTAAGATCAGGTTGGTGATAGACATATGTAAATGAACCATCACATTATATACCGATTTAGCCTCACTTTAGCATAGTTTATATATACCACAAAAACGACTCATGGTCTGTAATTTGCTAACATTTATATATATATATAGTAGTCTCAAGTTACAATCATCAATAAATTATATATACTTTATGATGATTAGCTTTAGATGACAATTATGCTTTTTGTGTTTATAATAAAATAAATTTGTCGCGATATCATATCCATTTATAATTATTTATGGCAGCAATAGAGTTGCTATCATTGGTTTTCTTTTAAAATTCGTTCATTTATGCTCATTCGGGAAATCGTTAAACTCATTAAAGTCTATTATATATTACATATAACATTTTTTTTTATATTATTCAACTATTAATAAAAGTTGTATCGCCCTAGTGGACTAACAGACAGACTGACACTTTTTATCTTTAAATCTTGGTTTGATGTTCAAAAAGGCACGTAATGGTCGAATTGACTCTGACTTTGACTTTGTACGGTTTCATGACTCACCTGATGTAGTTTTATGTAGTTCTGTTCTGTTGTTGACACTATTTCTAATAATATTCACAAACGTCAACTTTTCTATAGCACCCCAAACATTAATTTATTATTAAACGCCGATTTAACACTAAACTAAAATAGACGTAACTCACCTTTGCAAAGGTTTGATACTGCCTGATGTTCGAACCTACTACAGTTGCATTGAGACAAAAAACAATGTGTTTTGAATACAAATCATTACACTTCAAGTTAGCAGCGTATTTTACGTAGCGTGGTCGTATCTTATCAGACAAAGCGAAATTTAAGTTTTTGTTCATAATTTCAACATTAAAATTTTCTCACCGAAAAAAGTTCGCAAGACCAAAAATTGATTTTGTTTTTAATTAAAAAATGTACGCACGCCTCATACCCATTGAATATTAATGAGATATGATGATGATTGTCTGTATGGCTAATTGGTATAAAATGTTCTGGAATAAAATATAATAATTTAAGCTTTGACATAATTTTTCGTATTTAATGTCAATTGTACTTACTTGATGAACTTACGTAGCGTTTTTTATGAATAAAAAACCTTCCAACAACTGACTTGAAATGAATTTCAAGTGATGATTGTGATTTGGATGTATTTTTGTTTTATGTTTTTTTGAGTGAAAAGTTATCCATAATTTCTCTCACCTGGGTGAAGCGAAAGGAAGTGCTAGACTTACTAGTTACTTCTTTTAATAAAAACTACCTTTTCCTGCTCCGAGCGCGGCCGAGGTACATATTCAGCTTACATCCAGCACGGTTAGGATTTTTTCCCAATCATTGGAGGTGTTTTCTTTCTTTCCCTTTTCCTTTTTAAAAATTACTAGAATAGGTATAATGATAGAATATTTTTTTATTGAATTAATGAAGTATTTTATGTATGTTCCTTTAACATTTATGGCTTACGCAAACAAGTCTCATATATCTATAATTATTGGGTAAAATTTCATAAACACAGCTGATCTTGAACATTAAAAAGAATATTCTTATCGATGAAGGTTGTTTACTAAGTATTGACTGTTTAGCTTAATATTGCCGTGATGATCAAGGTGATTTGCTCCTCAATGGACTGTAAGTGGGCTCTTGAAGAAATGCAGGAAGCGGTTCAATGCATTCGTAAATAGAAAATTTGAAGTTTCAAGGAATTTTTTAGTTCGTTCAAATGATTGTTTGTTATATACTTCATAATAATTACCTTACTGTTATATTTTGTCTGGTTTAGTGTCTAGTGAGTATGTTTACACTTTTTTATGTAATAAATCGGCAAACGAGCAGATGGATTACCTGATGGTAAGCAATCAGCGCCGCTCATGTACACCTACAACGGAGGAGTTACGAGTGGGTTGCCGACCTTTTAGGGATTAGGGATTTGGAGATTTAGGGATTGGGGAAGAGTCCGGGGAGGGGAAGGCTTGGGCCTCCGGTAACCTCACTCACACGTCAAAACACAACGCTGTGGCTATTTCACGCCGGTTTTCTGTGAGGCCGTGGTATAACTCCGGTCGAGCCGACCCATTTGTGCCGAAGCATGGCTCTCCCACACTTAAATATAAGTAAAATATTGGATAGGTTAGGTGTATTTGTCACAAATGTACCAAATAAATGTGTGCAACATTATGAACAGGAAACAAACTTTACTTAATAAATTAATACTGTTATTTAATGTGATAGAGGAAAAAATATAAATTATAGAATGGTAATTATTGTTACATTACAATACTTCGCGGCCTCGGCCTGAAGCAGGTGAAGGAACGGAGTGGGTTTTAGTCAGTAAGAGTCTGACACACTCTCTTGTCTTACCCAAGGCGAGAAACGTCATCTATACTAATATTATAAAGTGGTAAAATTTGTAAGTTTTCACTGATAGATAGCTACAATGTTCCTGAGTGCTATAGGCTATAAAATATCACGATACGATTAAATGGAGCCGAGCAGCGGGTGAAACCGCGCGAGAGTATCTAGTAGCATAATAATATTTCGGCTTCAAGAAAAAAGTGATTATTACCCGCATCACCGGAGTAGTTATATTTGCATTTCTACAAATAAGATAAAGTTTAAATAAGTGCATGGTCTTAATGTCAAGAGATGTTGTATGTCAATCCTTTTATTCACGAGTTGATGGATAGTTATAAATTACTTTGAAGTTTAGATTTTCCGTGATATTATTACCGTGACTGAAATATCAATAAATTCCTGTTTACTAACTGACTGTTGGAGGTCTCTATGAAAAAGTTCTACAAAATGTCTCTACGAAAACTATTTTTTAATTTTTGGATACGTTAAATAAAACGTTTTTATACCTATTTATTTAAATAGTAAAATATATTTATAGAAATATAACAATGATTTTAATAAAAGAGGATCCGTATTGTATTAATAAAGTTTCAATTATTAAAACAATATAATTATAATGTTTATTCAAGAATATTAATATGCACATATAAAGCTTTGATTAGGCGCCACTATTGTTTAAAATTTTAAAGTATTAATAAAATTATAATATAAATATTTTTATTACACCAGTATTATTGAATAATTCGATTGTTATTTTGTTTATTTTTTTATAACAATTGGCTAACGCAAGGATTTTAGGATCGTAAAACCAATAATTAATTTATATTGTAATACTGAGGCACTATTTTTATATGGACTGCATCAATGAAAACGGTGCTAGATGAGATAATATGGTAAAGTCTGGTAGTGTCTTTATAGGAAAGAGTCAGATTTCATAGGAATTTGCTGAGTATTTCGCGGTTCAAAGATCTTTTGCTCTGCAGGTGGCTTTTTTAATTAATTTAATCCGCTGAAATCTTCT